CCCAGAGCCAGTATAGTCTACATGGCTAAGAGCATGAGCTCTGGAGGCAGACTGGCTCACAGCTCAGCTTGTGCTGATCATCTCAGTGACCTGGTTACTCCCCTCTGAGTCTCGGTTTCCTCCTATGTCAAGTAAAGAGAATAACAGTACCTTTCTCACAGAGCTGCTGTGAGGACTAAATGAGGTAATATATGTAAAGGGCTTAGGACAGTGCCTGGCATATAATAAGCTGTCAACCTCTTTGTTGCTCTTATTATTATTGTTGTTGTTGTTGTTGGGAGAAGATTCCCAATAAGAGTCTGGAGGAAAAAATGCCTTATGTTGCTCAGAAGATTCATTAATTAATCTGTAGCTATGTGTATTGTATATAATTACCTAAAAATCAGAGAAACTGGGAGAAAGCTTTGGGATAGATTCACAGTGGGTTTGGTAGGGCACCTGCCACGCCATCCAGTAACACCCCCGGCCACGGAGCAGCAGTTCCACCTCAGCCAGGCCATACCCCTTCCTACTCACTGCCTCACCCTCCTGCTCCCTGGCTATGCAGGTGCCATGTGCCTTCTCACGAAGGGTCTGGAGGCTCGTCTGTGGAAATTTGGTTGTGAAGAGTTGACTCTACTGAGGCGAACTTAATAAGTTTTTTCCTTTATCAAAATCTTTAAGAAATATTTGAAAGTCAAGGTTTAGGAAGAAAATAGATAATTGGGATACTAATGAAAATCTCATCTTAATCATCTGCTTCTTGTGTGATTCATCACTAAACATATTTAGTATTAAAACTAGACTTTGGGTTTAATATCTTTACATGCTTATTATCCTTTGGTGGAGACAGACAGTCTTGAAATTGTCGAAGGTCAGCAAGAGGATCTAAAACAAAGAGCCCAGGTTTTTAACAAAGTAGAGTGCCAGATCACGAACAGGTATTGCAATTGGGTTTTGTATCTGTGTCTGTGGAAGAGCGCCACGTGCTTGGCACTGTCCGAAGCACTTCACAAAGATCAACTCACTGAACCCACATAACAATCGTGTGAGGTAGGCTCCGTTATTATCATGCTTTTACAGATGAGGAAGCCAAAGAGGTTACAGACTGAAGCAAGGTCATACTGCTGGTTTGGGGTGGAGCAGGGATTTGAAGCTGTCCATCTGGTTCCAGAGTCAGTGTTTTTAACCTCTTAGACTATGCTGCTCAGAAAACCCTAAGAAATGATAACATGGCTCTGGATTAGCTGCTTACACTGTAGGGGTGAAATAGCCTGGCTATTGTCCCAATGACAGTTTTTGCCTATAATATTTATGTGAACACATAAAACTCTGAGTTCTCCTTTCTGGAGCCAGGATTGTGATTTTTAGTCATCCTTTCCAGGTTGTCTCTCTAAATATAAGAAAACAGAGCTATTACAATTTAACCTTTCTTTACCTTTATTGCCTCATTGTCCATCCTAATCATCCATTCAAAAAAAAATCAAAATATATCTCTTAATTAAATTTCTTTAAGGTGAAAAATGATTTCGACTGAAGCAGAAGAAAAATTATTAGGGGTTCAACCTCACTCACATCACTGAATTTTGGAGAAATTTCTAGGATCCATTACTTGTACCTATAATCTTGGGCCACATGTCACTTCAGCAGCACGGAGTTCATTGAGCCACTTGACCCCAGCATAGTGCTCAGGCTGAGCTCTCCCCGTGATAAGAAGGCCTGTGTGCTAATGGGAACAGCACTCAGGAGGCATGATGCAGCCCCCTAGCTATGTGCTCAGGAAGGAAGCCCTCCTCAGGTGAGACTGAGGTCTTTCTGAAACTTTAGACCCCTGGAACAGACACCACCATATGCTTTCGGAGGAAGCTACAGCTGCGTGCTCACTCAGCGGGAGGTGTGGCCACCATAAGTACCTCCATTAGAACCATAAACCCATTAGAACTGTAATACCGACACCACAAAAAACTGGCCTCAGGCTGCTTCTCTCACCTACACCTCTTTTGATTAGACATATAAAACTTTGCCCCTTGTTGAATAATTCTGAAGAAAAAGGCCTACTAAAACAGGTATATAAATAGAGAAATGCTTTGTAGAAACTTCTTCTATTTTGACAGTCACAAGACCATTATTGTTGAACATTTATTAAGTTCTAACAATGTGATAGGTGCCACACAAAACATTAGACATAGTACCTGCCCAGTGGGCTTACAATCTAATCTAAGGACATGATCATTTTTTAATGTTGCCATGAGTTTGCTGTTTTTGAAAATGAGGTATTAACTGCACTGGTTAGTGCAGGAAAAAGAGTCTACGGACTCAGTGATTTTTTATGCAGGTTTCCCTATGCAAGTAGGCATGATTACTCATATCACCTATTCTCTCCAAGTATGGTTGGCATTTCCCCAAATTTGATGATTTTTGTGATGTGTACAAGTGTCTATAAAGATAGGGACACCAAACTTACATTTCTGAAAATCTGGGTTCATATCTGGCCTTTAGTCCAGAAGAAAAAGTTTAGTTATATTATTCAGAAAAACAGTTATTCAAAATAGGCCCTAGGGAAAAACAGTGACGGGGACCAAGCTCCTGTTCAGTGTTCCTACAATGTCCAAAAGAGCAGCTCCTCAGGGCTGCCTCTCAAATGCCCTTTACTCTCAAGGTCTTTTGTCTTCATAGCCCAGAGATGAAATGCTTAGAGTGGGCTGGGTTCTGTTGGGGCATATGCCCAGGGGAGGAGTGTTTGAGGGCAGAGCCCTCTCAGTACCTCGAGGATCACTATGCAGAGGTGCATCCAGATGATTCACCTCTTGGTCCTTGGCAACATACCACAGTAATTTAACTTCTATCTCCAGAGAGTAGCAAAACTGTACCAGAGGCACACAGAATGGATCAGTAATTTATAAAAATGTAGCCTGTGAAAATATCCGTCACTGATACAAATGCAGACACATGCTGCTTATGAAAGCTTGTCCTTTTCCTGTCATGGTAAAGTCAAATGCCAAGTAACACTTTTTTTTTTTTGTGAGGAAGATGGGCCCTGAGCTAACATCTGCCAATCCTCCTCTTTTTTTGCTGAGGAAGACTGGCCCTGGGCTAACATCTGTGCTCATCTTCCTCCACTTTATATGGGACGCCGCCACAGCATGGCTTGCCAAGTGGTGCGTCGGTGCGCGCGCCCGGGATCCCAACCGGCGAACCCTGGGCCGCCACAGCAGAGCACGCGCACTTAACTGCTTGCACCACGGGGCCGGCCACCGCCCCCCCCAGTAACACTTTTATCTGTTAATCACTTAGCAGAATATTCTGATTTCATATGGAAGGAAATGCAAGATACGTATTTTAAGCAAATTATTTATAGTTTTTCATTCTTGTTACTTTTGTGCCTTCTTCAGATTGTAATATCTTTTGTCTCTTCACTTTGATCCTGATGAATTAATAATTCGCCACTTACTACATTTAGACTCTCGATCCTTTATTCATGTATATCCTGAATTTCAGTAAGCTATGAAAATGCAGACTCCAGCGCTGCATTTTGTAACGATAGAAGGATCCTGAGGGAATCTTCTCACAGAAGCCTTTTCTAATCGTTTTCCCCTGTGCTTATGAAAAGTATCAAAAAAGATCAACTGGTACATTCTAAATGTATGTTCTGAACAAGTACATGTTTATAAGTACAAATGGGAAGCACTTGCTTTTCCGTCTTGTAAACTCAGATTATGCTGACAAGCTGTACTTCTAAATAAATTGTAATTTGACTTGAAAAGGTTGCCTGCTCTACATTTGACATTTTATAAAGAGCAACCATAATCCTACCCCCACCCAAGTTGCTAACAACCATATCTTACAAAACAACCTTTAGTATTTTTTAAGTTGCATAAAAAACAAATACATGAATAAATAAACCAACAAAAAAATACATAATGAAGGGCTCCGAGCTCCTGCTCCAAGGAGTAGGTGAAAGACTGATAAATGAAGTTGAGGTCCTCAGTGCTTCTCTTTAAATAGTAAGCTAAAAATATGTTAGCTTTCTAAATTCTGTACTTTCTTCATTTTCACTGGAACACATTTTGTGAGCCACAACTGAGTTCCTATATAGGATTTCCAGAATGCAAATCAGAAACAAACTTGAGATTTTGTTCAGATTTTCTGTTAAACTGAGCCACTAATGTTTGGTATGGGGAACTGGGTGGGTTAAAGAATAGCTGGCGTGATAAAGCCACATTAAAGAAGGTATACTTTATTGGAACAGTTGTGTGTCTTAAGACTGGCCGTAAATTCAGTGAAAAACTGAAGACTATGGATTGTTTGAAAGCACTGGTTTTGAGGGCACAGGAACATGATCTGAATGAATCATTTAGAACTCATCGTTCATCCAACTGAACACAAAATTCACGCTTACCCCCCCCCCCCTTTTTTTTAAATGCAACAGGCTCAGTTTTCTCACATCGGTGCTTCTCTTCATGCTAGAACTGCTTATGTCTACAGAGTCCCCGAAGAAGCGAAAATCCTTTTTTTAGCATTAAACATAGCATATGGAGTTCTTCCTCAGCTCTTGGCCTATCGCTGTATCTACAAACCAGAGTTCTTCATAAAAACAAAGGCAGATGAAAAAGTTGAATAAAAACATTATTTCATGTTCTTTTCTCTCTAGATTACTGACTTTTGTTATCCTCGTACTGATATTTTGTCCCATTTCACTCCCTTCCCATACACGAACACTTAAGAATACATAAATTCTTGCTCTGCACTGTATGTGTGAGCTCTCACATGGTTTTGTGTGGGTAAATTTTCTTTTTTTGAAGGAAAATTGAAGTTGTTGAGAAACAATTTGTTTAAAGAAATATATTCAAAATTATTTGTAAATAAACTTGACCATCTATCTCAATATTGTTTGCACATATTACATATAAGTGTGAAAAATCACAGTTTAGCTCCTACAATAATGAGCATGAAAACGAAAACTATTCAAAAGTGAATATGGTCTGTGCATATTAAAAAATTCAAAATAGCAAATACAGACTGGAGAAATATTTTTTGCATATAAGATATATATGCTTCGTTATCAACCTCAATATAAAAGGCAAATCATTAGAATATTTTTAAATGTTGTTTGAAAAATGTTTTCGCAAGGAAAGTATATTCTTTACTGCTGTTTTAAAAATTGCTTTTATTAAAAAATTTTTTTGTGTCTAAATAGATGAGGAGGGATCGATAACTTGATCATTATCCTTAATGAATACTTGTTTTATTGGTGACTGGAAATATTTCTATTGTATTTCTGTGTACATTTTTAATAAAATTATTTTTGGCCTTTTATGAAGATAAATCTTATTAAATTTAAAACATTTTATATATTTTTTCCCAGAAAAAGTTTTATAGTCTTTAGGCTTTTTATTTTAAAAATCTGTCAATTATATGTTTCAATTCAAAATGTCATCTACATTCTCCTTATGTTTTAGTGTGAGCAACGAAGAGGCCTTTGATGAATTAATTAAATTTCATTAATTTTAAATTAAATCAACATACTCAAAATTAAAAAGTACCTTTCAAGGAAAAAGAACTGGATTGGCATCTTTACTATCCTTTAATGAACTTTTCATATTTGGAATTATGAGTGAGTACAACAGAAAAAAATCGATATTTGCTAAATGAGAGAAACAAACCAAAAATACAGCCACCTCCTCAGTGCCCTAGGGTAGTAAGTGGATCAGTGCTTTCACACGCTCAGCTGCCATCATCACCACCATCACCATTGACGGCCCTAGGCTTTTGGAGTGTCTCACATTTTCTCTTGATATTATTTATTAGCTGTTCACTAAAATAAGAAAACTGAAAGAAAATGAGGTCCAAATCAATGCATGGATAATGTTAATCGTGTGAATTTAGGGTCCACTGAGCAGGTGAATATTATCTTAGATGTGCAAGCGACCATGTAGCCATTCCTCTCCCTCCCTCCAAAAAACCTAAAACCCAGAGAATGTTTAAAAAAAAAAAAAGAAAACCCTCACCTGCACTTGATTCTATTGTCAACTTGCTGTTAACAATTTTTGCTTTAATATATGAATTACATTAATACCTCACATTACACATATGAAGCCAAATTACACTAACTTAGTTGTTTACAACCTCAAATCTTACTCCCAGTACACATTCCAATAAATTTATTCTGTAAAAACAATACATTTTTTTGTTTTTGATTTTTTTTACAGTAAACTTTTCAACTACAAACCTTGAATACGCAAAAGATGTTCCAAAGACAAGCATAACAGGATTGATAAAACCCAAACTGACTAAATGTGTTCTCACAATATAAGCTGGCATAAAAATAAATAAAATTCTCTATTATCACAATAGCAACAATAATGTACACATAATAATGGTTTGTGGATGAATATTAACTATTCTAATTCTAGTTCCAAAAGAAAACAACAGTTCATTTTAAAAGTCTATATTTAAAAGTCAATGCTTTGTCTGGTTTCCCATAGGGCTACTGCTGGTTCCAGCTTTAAAATGTAAAGTATCCACCTTGAGTGATTAGCTCAAATTGTATTGGGAAAAAATAAATCATTGCCTTTATTTTGGAGTAACACAAAAGACTCACTAACTTCACATATAGAAACTGAGTTTGTGTACATAACATGAGTTTTGAGAAGTATAAGCTATCAACTAGCTATTTCTAATACAGAATAGATATTTTACAATATGATTAAATTTTACAAATGGCCTCAAAACTGAAGGACAATTTTAATTTCATCTTCAATATGCCAACATTATGTATCAAGGAATTGGTTCTTGGGTTCTGTCACAGAGAGAAAATTCCTTAAGCATTATGTTGAGTGGTCATCTTAAAAAAATGCTAATTTATATTTAACTGAGTGTTTGGTGATGATAGAGTAAAGGCAGCAGAATGATGAAAATAACTGCCTTGATAAAAGGATCCTAGACATGTATAAATTTGTGCAAAAATCTTGATAATCCTTAGTGGTTAAGGGCAACTTCATGCAACCAAATAACATAAAATTAAATCAATAACCTTAAAAAAGGCTAAAATGTCTTTTTTTCCCCCAAAACACAACAGAGAGGAATGTGAATAATGTACATACAAACTGGGATTCTGTCAATGACAACAAGGATTATGTGTTGGTTCATATCAAATCCAAGAATATGGGACAACCAAACGTATAACCTTCACGTGGTTTCTCTTAATATGCAGCATTCATTATGGCAGTTAGGTCTGTAAAAAAAGGAAAGAAAACAAGCCCTTAGGTGATTTAGGATATTAACAATAAAAGCTATCCACACCTATACAGTATAATAACTGGATTTTCTGAGATTTTAATCTACATTGCAGCATTAACAATACTTAGCAAGAACAGCCTCTGAGGCTTTGCTTTATACCTATCAATGCAAAAAGCTAAAGGAACCAGTACAGCATTTTTCCATTAAACAAAAAGAAAAAAAACAGTAAACTTTGTCTACTGTCTGGCAGGGCACAGAGTGCAATACTGTGCACTCTGTACAACTCCAGGACACCGTGTATTGCTGGGATATATAAAGTCAATGGAGAAAGTGAGATTATCTTTGTAAGGACTGTGGTGTTACAAAAAAAGATAAGCTGCCTAACATTTAAAAAGCATTTGGAGTGTTATTATTATTCTGTATAATATTTACAACTTAATTACTTGTGACAAATGGCTTAAAGAAATATAAGAGTTAAAATCAAGATGTATAAAAAGAAAGGAAGCCTAGATTTCTCTTAAAATTTAGATGGCATCCATGTGACAAAGATAAAATATTTCCATTTTCTAAAAGAAATATGTTTCAATTTGGGTCCCAATTTAAATTGTGTCAGGTTACATTTCCCCATAGGAATGCTATTTTTGTTTTCTTTATCATTAACCCAAATATATTTAACCCCCTAGTAATACTCTCATGGGATGAATGAAAGAGGGTATTCAGGCCCCAAATATTTTTTCTAAAAACAGCTTGTTTCAGCTTTTGACTTCACTAAGTGAATGAGCTTGTTTGTAAGCACACGTGCTCACTCATGGGTATGATGTTCTCACTTATATAGCCAAAATCTATACTGTACTGTATATAATGCCATATATAAATAATTCCAGGACCTTCAAATAGGAGAAGTTACTAAACCTACCATCCTCTCAAGATGGCAAAAATACATTTCTTAGCCTTCTCTGCTCCTACCAAAATGAGAAAGCCAATCTTGGGAAAAAAAAAAAAAAAAAAAAAAATCGCATTTAAAATCTCTGAGTTTGCAAAATGCAGTGCCTCACTAGTGACTCCTAGTTATTTATTAACAAATAAAAATACTGATATAAGATCATATGCACAGTCTTTGGAGGATTTTCCTCCCTCGTGAAGGAGGAAGACGTCCATTAAAACAATGAAAACTGTTAATCAACTAAAGAAACTTCTTTAATAATGTCTTTTTATTAGCAATGTCTTTTTATTAATATTAATGTGAAAGGCAATAAATTCTGTTTACATAGAATGGTAAACATAGAAAATTTTGGTAGAAAATTCATATTAAGAACTACTCAATCCACACTGAATAATATTTTTGGAAGAAGTGGTCCCAGAGCAGCCTCAGAATATTATTGATGCCCCAAACAAAGTGAAGGTGGTACTGGAATGTGACTACAACTTTAAGGATATGGTTTTCTTTGGTCTTTAAACAAGATGCTGTCAAATGGGTGCTTATAAAAGCAAATTATCAATCTAAATCTTTTTTTTTTCTTTTACTTTTCATACCATAATCACTCTATAGTCATGAGTAGCTTAACAACGGGGATACTGCTGAGAAATGCACCGTTAGGAAATTTCGTCATTGTACAAACATCACAGAGTATACTCTCACAAACCTAGATGGTATAGCCCACCACACACCTATGCTATATGGTACTAATGTTATGGGACCATTGTTATATATGCAGTCCCTCGTTGACTGAAACGTTACATGGCTCATGACTGTATTTGCATCTGTGCATCAAAAAATATCTTGATAGTTTATAATGGTGTATATTTGGGACATAGTGTTCTGAGCGTTTGTCGACCGGAAGTCTCCTCCAAGTGAGCCACCAGAAGTGGCTCCTTTGCCCTGGCTGCCATGCTTGGTGCCATGCCACTCCCAGAATGGATAATGGCTGGTTAATCCAATCAGATTCTCTCTTGAGGCATCTGCATGTGAGGCACATGGAGCGCTGTAGGGTGGTAGCAAAGCTGAAGGATACCCAGAACACAGTAAGCAGAAGTTACGAGGCAGTGGAAGTCATAGGATCTTTTCATGGAGCACCATTTTTACTTGAAAAAATGATGAAGATAAACTATGGTTATTCAGACGTGAGTATCTGGCACTTTGTCAAAAATAAATGAAATAAGCCTATTACTTGAAGGAAAACAACTGGCAGTATTTACTGTCAATGATAAAATTTGAGATTTTAAGTGAAAATAGGAATTCTGGAAAACTTAAATCCTCCATGATTGACAGCTTCTCAATACTTAAAAGATTTTTCTGACAAAATAGGTAGTGATATTAAAAAATATGATTAAAAATATTTTACAATGAAATACTTGGAAGACCTGAATAACTCAGGGAACCAATATTTTCCAAATGGGTAAAAGCTATTCAAAGTGCCAGACAGTCCAATAGATTTTTTTTTTTGTGAGGAAGATCAGCCCTGAGCTAACAGCTAACATCCGATGCCAATCCTCCTTTTTTTTTTTTTTTTTTTTTTTTTTGCTGAGGAAGATTGGCCCTGGGCTAACATCCATACCCATCTTTCTCTACTTTATATGGGATGCCACCACAACATGGCTTGACAAGTGGTGCGTCAGCGTGCGCCTGGGCTCCAAAGCTGCGAAGCCCAGGCCGCTGAAGTGGAGCACGCGCACTTAAACTGCTGCACCACCCAGGCCGGCCCCAGTCCAGTAGATTTTAACCTAACAAAATACAAAAAGTTGATTCTACATTGTAATTAACATTTAAGAAACTGCCACTTATAGAATTGGTGTAATACCAAGGAATAATATCCACAATGATCTGAAAAGACTATTAAAATCCTCATCTCTCCATTTTCCAACTACATATCTATGTGAGGCCAGATTTTCTTCATATACTTCAACCAAAATAACATATCACAACAGACTGAATACAGAAGCAGATATGAGAATCCTCAAGTCTTCTATTAAACCAGACATTAATATTATATTTAAAAAATATAAAACGTCATTTTTTTCAAAAAAAATTTCTTTGGGAAAATGTAGTTATTTTTCATAAAAATGTGCTATTTATGTTAAGTAATGGGTTTATTATTATTTTAAAATGAATTAATAACTATCTTAAAATTTGTTTTTATTTCTAATTAAGTAAAGATCAATAGCTATAACAAAAGCTCTTTGGAGTCCTCAATAACTTGTAAGAGTATTAAAGGGGTCCTGAGACCAAAAAGCTTGACGAACCATTGGTTTAGAATAAATGAGAGTAAATGGTGAGAAATGAGGCTGGAAAGATAAATTAGGGTCAGAGTGTGAAGGCCATTATATGCTGAAATAAGGAGTTGGGAACTGATCTTGAGGGCAACTGGGAGACATAAAGAGGCAGCACTATACTGTAGAAAGAACAGTAGGTCCAGGGTCAGAAGAATAAAGGCATGGACACTGGTTAGTGGTTATAGTGAACACTGTGGCTGTCCTCCCAACATTTAATCTACCTTCTGCCCCTCTCAGCAATTATGGGATAGCCTTGTCATTTGGGAACTTGACTCTAGCTCCAGGGGTAGAACCTGACTGGTCTAAGCCAGTTCTAATCCGCTGTTATCAGTGGTTGGTTCAGGGATGGGCAGCTTTCTGACATGGTCTCCAATGATCCTGCCTCCTAGTATTCAGAACCTCGCCTAAGCCCCACTCCTTGAGTGTGGGCTGGAGCTTGTAACTTGCTTCTAATTAACAGAATGAGGCGAAAGTGATGGGATGTCACTTCTGATATTAGATTACAAAAGACTGACTTCTGTCTTGCTAGCACTCTCTCTTGCTGATGAAGCCAGCTGTTACATTGGAGCTGCCTTATGGAGAGACTCATGTGGCAAGGAACCAAGGGAGGCCTCTGGCCAACAGTTAGTGAGGAACTGAGGCCCTCAGTCCAACAACTGTGAGGTATTGAATCTTGCCAACAACTACTTGAGTGAGCTTGGAAGAGGACCCACCCCCAAGTGAGCCTCAAAATGATTTGCGCCCCTGCTAACACCTTAATTGCAGCTTTGGAGAGACCCAGAGACAGAGAACTCAACAAATTATGCCTGTGTGGATTCCTCATCCATAGAAAATGCTAGATAATAAATGCTGTTTTAAGCCACTAAGTTTTGGGGTAATTTGTAACATAGCAATAGATAATACAGCAGGCCCAAGCCAATCAGTCCCTGGTGGCCTGGCCACAAAGAGTAGTAACCTCTACTTTATAGCCACATGAATCAAGGGGAGCTCCAAGTGTTCTGGAGCCTGCCCCTTTCTGCCTCATGCTTCCATTGGCAGGAGTAAGGATGTAGTCAGAGAGCCTCTGGAAGTAAAGGGGGCCCCAGAACTCTGTGGGTTCCTGTAAGAACCTCTTCTCTCCTTCCTACCAATACTCATAACCTCAACACCACCATCTGTCTTGAGATCATCAAGCTTTTTATCCTTATGCCCTTTATCTTTGCTTACTTCAGTTACCACAAGACGGGCTGCAGAGCATCTGTCACTTCCTGGACTCTCATCCTCAGTCAGCTGTGTACATGTTTGTTTATGACCTCTTCTCTTAAACCCTCCACTCCCTAGCCCAATTCCTCAATCTCTTCCACTGGGCCCCTAGGAAATTATAACAAATCTCCTACATTCCCAACTTGCATTTCCAAGATATTCTACTCACCAACTTGTTCTCACTGAAACCTGGCTTCCCCTGAGGATAGTGCTGTTGCTTCTCCTGCAACCCTTTCAAATGGAAGCTCTTTCCTCTGCCACAGCTCTTGTACTACTGGCCCTGGATGTGGGGAAAATGTCCTTCTTGATCTTTACTACTATTTCTAGGCTATTCTTCCTCTCCCCTGTGCTCCCTTCCCCAGAAAAAAAGAATCCTCCTAGCTTTTACAATACTGTAAACCATTACCCCTCCTCCCTGAAGTCATCTCCAGACTCCCTGGGTCACTCTCCCTGACTCCTTGAAGATTTTAGCTCTGGCCCACT